CAGTGGAGGGAAGGCAAAAAGTAGACAAATAAATAGATGCCAAATAAAGCTAAGGGACATACAAAGACTAAAACATGGTCAGGAATAGAAGACCTTTGCAGAATGGGTGCTGTTGTTTCATAGTAGATGATTGGGAAAGCTCATTGATTAGGATACATCTGAGAAGAAACTTGGAAAAGCAGTGAAAAAATAAGCCCCATGGAAGGAACAGAGTAAGATTGATGCTTTTCTTGAACATAGTTCATAGGTTGGCAACAGGGCTAGCAAACATAAGACCTATAAAAAAGATAAAGATGCTTAAGGTGGAGAGGGTTGGTAGTGAAGATTTGGTAGAAGCCTGATTATATTTTGGAGGTAACGCCTGTAGTTTTGTTACTTATTTGAATGTACATTCTACTGATACTCGGTTGAATGTGAATTCTACTGCTAGAAAATATTATTGAAACCAGCTGTTAACAGGTAGTGGAATGGTCACAACTGAGACTGCTTAAAGACTGGAAGTGAAAGGGTGCTTCTGGGAGTTGACATTTCCTCTGCCCCCCACCATCACCCCTCAACAAAAAGTTACAGGATTTAACCAGAGACTTCATGGACATTTCCTTACTGTTTTTTAGACTGCATGTTTTTCCCTGTTAAGTATTGATGACCTTAATCATCCTTAAAGTCCTCCCTCTTGATTCTTAATCTTCTCGGAAAGACCCTTAAGATTGAAAGGAAAATATTTTGTCTTTTCTTTAGTAATCATGAGCCCAATGATTACACAGACTTGATCATGACTTTTACATGGTAGTTTATTTTTTAGATGCTATTTAAAAAGGCAGTCAAAGTAAATTTTAATATTTAATTTTATTTTGGATTAAAGAGTTTGCATGCTGGTGTGCTCAAAAAAAGCAGCACAAGTGTTAGTATCCGGGCGGCAGAGGCAAGGACCATCTCAGCTTGGGTTCCCAGAGTGCTCTCCTGTGAGGCTCACTGTCTTTCTAGACACATTCTACCCACTTATGCTCAATACCCAAACAAGAGGGCTCAGCAAATGCCAAGAAAACATTGTCTACTGACCAGAAACTAGGAACCTGCCAATGAGCTTGGATTTCTTTAAGCACTCAAACTGCTAACCAGAATGTTATAGTTTGAACTGAGCAGCAACTTCTTGGGGAGAAAACACCTGGTGATCTGCTACTATAAAAGATAACAGCCTGGGGGACCATACCAGGCAGTTCTACTCTGTTATAAGTAGAAAATTGTTTAAAAGCACGTAGCATTTTATGTGCATACACATATGCTATTAAACCTTGAGGGCTGGAACTTGATAGGAAGGACTACCTTGTTTTTCCAGGTTTCACAAGTTTTCAGCCTTGACCTGGTTCCAAGTGCATGGCCAGTCTTCTTTTATTCTCAGCTTAATATTTCAATTTTTCTTCTGATGACTTTCTGCCTTACACTAATCGTAGCTTTTGCAGGTTTTACTTTGGGTGTGTGTGTGAGAGAGAATTACTTTTAGGGAGAATACTTGTTTCCTACCAGCAAATACTAGTAAGGTATATAGTATATAAATCAATGCCAGAAACTCTGTAATCATAGAATTAGGCACTTTTCTTATAAAGGGACATTAGGTTTTTTCCACTAAAATTTGGAAAATGGAAATATTGTTGGGGGTGGGAGGAACAACAGGATAACCATTACTAGAACCTTGGATTCACTGCAAAGGGAACAACTTTGTAATCACAGCCATTATTAAGCCATCCCAGTAAATAAACATTTGATGATGGTTTCAGTGGTCGTAGTAATGGCAGGTGTCAGCACATTATAGGATAACTAAGTATCCAATTGAATAATTTCTAGCTTATTTAGATGAAAGTGTCACTCATTAATGCAGATGACAGCTGTAAGGGTGCTTAAAGACAAGTTTGCAATTAAATTTCTGGTGTAGTAATAAATAAAGAACTACAACCTAGAAATCTAACGCTCATACTGCGGAGGATCTTTGTAGTGTCTCAACATTATATGAAGAGGTTTTGTTTGTTTTCCATATGATGTTAAGGAACTTGCTAATCAGTTGTCTCAATCATAGTATTGCTTTGAAATACGATGAAACATTGACTAAAACACTTCTATGTCTTCTCATATTTCCAAACAAGTTTCTAGATTTGTCCTGAGTTCCATCATTGCTTGAATGTGATGAACAATACAGTTTATCATTTTGTGTTTGACTGTTATTGTTGGTTGTTCTCTCCCACCCTCGCCACAATTCCAGTATCTCTGAGCAAAAGCACATGACTCTGTCAAAATACAGAAATTCTCTTCAAACAGAATTAGGGCCAATTGACACATTATCTCATAGAAAGTGTCTGTTGTAATAGACCCCAAAATTTTATTATATTTACTAGACCATTGGGGGTTGTGCCTCATTCAAAGTTTTGTATTTCTCCTAAATTGTAAAGGTTTTTGCTTCCTCCCCCCCATTTTTACCTTCTCACTATCAAACTGTCCATCAAGGCTAAGTTACTCTTTCTTATTTTGTTTACACTTTTCCACCCTTGAACCCTTAATCCTTGTTTGAGCTCTTTCTGTACATTGATTTCACTGCCTTGCTTGTCACTTCAAAATCTAAAAGTATTCTCCTTTTTACTTAAGAATAAACATTTTTAAAAGATTCTTCTTTAAAGTTGAAAGAGAGCCCCCTTTGATGATTGTTGGGAGGGTATTATTTTTGTGGCCTGCTGACATTCTCTGCTCCCACACTTACTCCTGAATTGTTTTACATGAGGATCTAGGTTCTCATCAAAGATGCCCAGAAACTGCTCATCTAGGTAGGGGGTGTGTAATTTAGTTTTATGGACCAGCCATCTCTTTGTTACTTTCAGGCCATGTCTCCATTTCATGTGTTTTTGGCTTCTATGGCTGTCATCAAACAGAATGCAGCCCTGCATGGTAGGGAAGAGGACTCCCCTGGAGTTCATTTCCTTCCTATAAGGACAGGATTGCACATAGTTCCACACTGAATGAAAAACTCTTATATTCAGATAGCAAGCATATTTCTAAGAAGCCCACATAATCCTACTTTTAGTTACAGTATTTGAAATTCATTACTAGGATCTTGGAAAGTCTTTGCTGTGTTTGTTTTTAATTATTAAATAATCTTTGAGTATTTTATCCTTTTTTAAAATCCTCTTATTGCTTTCCTTAACTGGAAATTAGCCTGTATTGACTCTTCCTATCATGCGTCATGTTATCCATCCCTTTTTGGCTTCCAGCTCTTGCTAAGACTTTGCATATGGAAACATGGAAACAGTTGGAACCTTAACACTAGTTTTATTATAACTTTAAAATTAGTGTGATGCATTGGAAAGTCTTGTCCTGGGACTATGAACCTTTCAATCTTCTTCTAGTTCTGCTGCTAGCTGAATATTTCCTATACCCTTTGAAACTTAATATTTCATCAGTTAAATGGACAATTGGCAAGTATATGTATTTACTGTGGTAGACAAGTAACTTTTGGGACCCAGTCTTACAGGCTTAGGCCTTTTACTCATCTGGATAATGTGGATATCCTCTGCTTTAAGACATCTAGCTATTAACTGGAAGGAGAAAGATAAAACAGCTGATCTACTCTGTCCTTTAGGAGGAAGATCTAGTTTCTCAGAAGCTGGATTGCTGACTTGGTTTGAATTCTCCAGCAGATCCTGGGGAGAAAGATATGCAAACTCTTCTTGTCCAATTTGCAACCTCTCAAAAACATACCTTTTTTTGAGTTTTAGGATAAGGAAGAACCTTACCATTGCAATGGTATCAGCCATTCTTCACAAGATAGATAGGAGGCATTTATATACTCCTATAAATGCCTTACAGCTTTGGAAACCTTCAGGGACAGACAATTCTATCTTGTCCTTAGACTACAGATTGAAATTGTCACCATAGCAGTGAGTGTAGGATGAGAACTCTTTTATAGCACAGTGCAGCAGTTAAAGAATTCAGCTGTTCACCAAAATGTCTTTGGTTCAAACCTACCAGCCATTCTGCAGGAGAAAGACAAAGCAGTTTTCTTATGAGCACATCCCCAGCCACAGAAGTCCTGTGATTCTGTATTATACAAGTCACTGGATCCTCTTAACACCAAGGTGTTTTTTAAAATGGAGGTTAAAGGTCCAAAACCTAGTTAAGGGGATTTTCAAGTGCATAATAAGAATTAAGATGTAATCTTTCTTGGAGAAAGTGGTGGGCTTTTCGTTTTGTTTTTTTTTACAGTTTTTCATGGTATAAATCATATCGAGACAGATGATATTTTTACTTACAATGGAGATGTGCCATATAGTCTTTATTTTTGAAAGTAACTTCCTGCATAATAATAACAATGTATCACAGTGGAGAATCCCAGTGAAACCATTTTTTCTCTGTGGTATAGGCTTCTAAACCAAGTTAGATATTGTGTAAGAAGAAACAGAAATGTTTAAATGTAATACACGGAGTATACACATGGAAAAGACACCTCCAGGGGTGTTATTTCAGGGTAGAATTTGGAATAAGGTTTGGGAACAGAGCTCTGTGTGTGTGTACACACGTGTGTGTGCTTTGACTGACAGACACATCAGCATTTTACTTAGGCATGCCTCCATAGAAAGGCCTACCAGGCAAGAGTTGTCCTCATTCATCAGACAGATAAAATAAGCAGAGCCACTTAGCACAGACAGCTCCTCAAGTCACATGGCAAGGCAGTGGTAGAGAAGTAATACATCTTCACAGGTTAAAATTGCATTTCACTCCTGGCCACATAGGCTCTGCTGCTTCTAAGATTTATCTCTAGAAAACTGTGAGATCTCTTTGGGGTAGAAAGGGGAAAGTGGAAGAGGAAGAATTTGCACTTGTTGTTTTCAGAGAAGTGCTAGAAAGATACTCAAACTGCTACAATATTGTGTTGACTGAAAGGGCCTGGTATTAAATAGTCTTAAGCCTGTGATCATTTAGTTGTCTTTTTCTTTCTTTTCAGACGGCACCCAGGCAACATGGGTGACTGGAGTGCCTTGGGCAAACTCCTGGACAAGGTGCAGGCCTATTCCACGGCTGGAGGGAAGGTGTGGCTCTCAGTCCTGTTCATTTTTCGAATCCTGCTGCTGGGGACCGCTGTTGAGTCTGCCTGGGGCGACGAGCAGTCTGCGTTTCGCTGTAACACCCAGCAACCGGGTTGTGAGAACGTCTGCTATGACAAGTCCTTCCCAATCTCCCACGTCCGCTTCTGGGTCCTGCAGATCATCTTTGTGTCTGTCCCCACGCTCTTGTACCTGGCTCACGTGTTCTACGTGATGCGTAAAGAGGAGAAGCTGAACAAGAAGGAGGAGGAGCTTAAAGTCGCCCAAACGGATGGAGTCAATGTCGAGATGCACTTGAAGCAAATTGAGATAAAGAAGTTTAAATATGGCATCGAGGAGCACGGCAAGGTGAAGATGCGAGGGGGCTTGCTGCGGACCTACATCATCAGCATCCTCTTCAAGTCCATCTTCGAGGTGGCCTTCTTGCTGATCCAGTGGTACATTTATGGCTTCAGCCTGAGCGCTGTGTACACTTGCAAAAGAGATCCCTGCCCACACCAAGTGGATTGCTTCCTCTCCCGCCCCACGGAGAAGACCATCTTCATCATTTTCATGTTGGTGGTGTCCTTGGTGTCTCTTGCCTTGAACATCATTGAACTCTTCTATGTCTTCTTTAAGGGTGTTAAGGATCGCGTGAAGGGTAAAAGTGACCCTTACCACGCTACCACTGGTCCCCTGAGTCCCTCCAAAGACTGCGGCTCTCCCAAATACGCTTATTTCAACGGCTGCTCCTCACCAACCGCTCCCCTCTCGCCCATGTCTCCACCTGGGTACAAGCTGGTTACTGGGGACAGAAACAATTCCTCTTGCCGCAACTACAACAAGCAAGCGAGTGAGCAAAACTGGGCTAATTACAGTGCAGAGCAGAATCGAATGGGGCAGGCAGGAAGCACCATCTCCAACTCCCACGCGCAACCTTTTGATTTCCCCGATGAGCATGAGAATTCCAAGAAATTAGCTGCTGGCCACGAACTCCAGCCACTCGCCATTGTGGACCAGCGGCCGTCCAGCAGAGCCAGCAGCCGCGCCAGCAGCAGACCTCGGCCTGATGACTTGGAAATTTAGAAACGTGCTGGAGGGTGTCAAGATCCCGCTCACGTGTGGAGATGAAAAAGGTGCTGCGGCAGGTGCACCTGGCGTGTTCATTTTGTTCCAGGATCGTGGTACTCACCGCCTCATTCATGAGGCTTAGAACACAGACGTTAGAATACCTGGGTTTATTGAGGGTGTCTGGGACAGGTGGGTGGAGAGGGAGGGGGGGAAAGGGAATACTGGTACATATTGGTATTTAAATTAGATGGTAAAAGCGATCTTAAATTCTAAACAAAATCTCATTGGGTGATACATAGACAAGGTTTTTCTCCCCCTTCCCGTTCTGTATATGTAAAAGTGGGTGGTAAGTATGACTAAATTGTTTTTGTATTTACAAAGATACTGAAATTCTGTTGGCCCAGGAAAAAGTGCTTTCTGAACGAACATCTTATTTTTCAATCAGATTGTCCTCATGTTCCCGTTAAAACATTCCATTCTTAAAATTTGCACTTTGAAGGTAAGCTTTCTAGGCCTGAGCCTCCAGATGTCAGTGAACTCTTTTGCTACTATGTTTCCTATTTTTTTTTTTCATCAGTTAAAAGTTCAGACGTGGCCCACTCTTGATCTAAAATGTTATCTGTACATTCTGTTTTACATCCAATGAAAAGAATCCTCATTTCTATCACTCCTTTGTCATCATTCCTCAGCTACTTTTCACAGACATTTAGTGGTTTCTATAAGCATTTTTTAAAAATTGTGTGGATGTCACGTAACTTTTTTTAGTTGGAGTCAGGGAGGCAAGCCATACTCGATATTTAACAATCACTTATGTGTATGTGTGTGGGAGAGTATTTTATTTGTTGTTCATTGGTACAAGCAGATGCGGTATAAACTCACACAGATTTGAAGATATTGCACCCTCAGTGTTCAAATTTGAGCCTTCTCATGGATTTGTGGTGTGGGCTAACGTGGTGTTTACATTATCTAATCCTGCTGTGCAAATGAAGCACACTTTAAAAAAAAAAAAAAAATCTTTCCCCACCCCAGGTATCCTGTTATGGGTACTGGTTTTGTTAATTACAATTTTCTTTTTTTTCTTCTTTATTAGAATATAGCAGTACTGTTATTGCAAAAATGAATGATTTCCTTTTTCTGAATTGTAATCATTGATGCTTGAATGATAGAATTTTAGTACTGTAAACAAGCTTTAGACATTAATGTGAGAGATTTAGGAGAAAACCATAGAGTGGGCTGTTAATGTGCCTAAATGAATTTTGCTGTAACTGGTATTCTTAGTTTTGTCCTACTTAATACGTATTAATTCAGAATTTGTATACTATAATGAGTTTGGCAGTCTTTTGGAGTGACCAGCAACTTTGATGTTTGCACTAAGATTTTATTTGGAATGCAAGAGGGGTTGAAAGAAGATTCAATAGTACACATGTAACTAATTTATTTGAAATATACGCTAAAGAAGTCTACCAGTTTCTTCAAGTGCCTTTTACAAAACTCTTCACAGATGACTGGTGAAATGCAGATTATCATACCTTTTTTGCCTTGCACATCAGCTAAATAAAGTTGGACAGTGAGGAATACTAATTTGTTTGACATTCCATGTTAAACTACTGTCATGTTCAGCTCCATTGCATGTAATGTAGAATTAATTAGTCCATCATATCATGTGTTGTGTTTTGGAGAGTGTCCTTTATTCAATAAAGTTTTAATTTAGTATAAAGATAGCTTTTGTTATTCTGTGTGATCTTTTCATCTTACTTTTATCAGTTCACAATTATCAGGCATTTTCATTGTGCCAGCATGATGCTTAATTTCAGGAACTTTTAAAAAAACAACTTTATTAAGTAGGCTCTAGATTCAACATTGATTTGATATTTATTCAACTAAGATGCAACACATACAGAATTTAGAATGTAACTTTAATGTGTTTGGGTAAGGTCTTAAAAACCAAAGTTAATAAAAATGTAGACCTAGATTTGGCAGAAGGAATCCTGACGACTTTTTTGGCAGTGTTTAGCCTTTTGGCTGCTAACTAGAAGACAATTTGAACCCACAAACTGCTCAAGAAAGATGTGATTGTGTTGCTTCTGTAAAGGGTTTTTTTTGTTTGTTTGTTTGTTTTTGTTTTGTTTTTTTAACCCTATGGGGCGGTTTTCTGTGTTCGGACCACAGCAGTGAGTTTTATTTTGGTGTGCATGACAATTCCAAATATAGGAAGATGAAGAATGTGTAAATCTACAGAGCCTACTGGAGAGAAAAGGTTAGTTTGCAGATGCACCCACCCACTTGGTTAGATTCCAAGTACCAAGTTGTTATGTGCCGTTGGGTCATTTATGACTCACAGCAACTCTATATACAACAGCCCTGAACCTTGCTCCATCCTGTGCCAACCTTATTGTCTCTGATACACCTACCCACATTACCCCAGTCATTGAATCAATCTATCTCCTTGAGGGTCTTCCTCTTGCACTACCCTCCACTCTTCCAAGCATGAAGGACCGGTACCTCCTAGAAACATGCCCAAAGTATGTCAGATGAAGCCTCAGAATCCTCACCTCTAAGGAGCAGCCTTGTTTTCACCCTGTCTAGGATGAACCTATTCTGGCAGTCTATGGTATATTCAATAATCTTCTCCAGCACCACAGATAAAAGGCATCAATTCTGTATTATCTCTAGTCATTGTCCAGCTTTCTGATTCATAGCAAGTAATTGCAAAGACTATGGCCTGAATCAGGTGTATCTTAATCTCCAGACTGATGTTGTTGCTCTTCAGTACTCTGGAGCCTGGAGAGGTCCCTGACAGACTTTCTCTTCATCTATCATGATGCTGCTTATCAGCCTAGTGGTAAAAATTTGTTTTCCTTGATGTTGAGCTCCAATCTATTTAAGGCTGCAGTTGACCTTCTGCAGCAAGCATTTCAGGCCCTCCTCAGTTTCAGGACGTAAGGTTGTGTCATCTGCATAATGCAAGATGTTAATGGTTTTCCAATCCTGATGCCACATTCCTCTTCATAGAGCCTAGCCTCCTGGATTCTGCATATAGATGGAAAAGGAAAGGAGATAGGATACATACAGCCTTCCATATTTCAAACCATGCAGTGTTTCTCTGTTCTGACCACTGCCTCCTTGTCCAAGTATAGGTTTCACATAAGCACAATCAAGTGTTCTGGGATTCTTTGAGTTAGCCAAAGTTTGTTGTGATCCACACAGTCATATGCCTTTGCATAGTCAATGAAACAGACATTCTTCTGGTACTCCCTGTTTTCAGCCAAGATCCACCTAACATTACCTATAATATCCCTAGTACCACGGCCTCTTCTAAATAGCCTGCTTATCTGGCAGTTCTCTTGATGTGCTGTTCCAGTCATTTTTGGATAATTTTCAGCAGAATCTTGCTAGTATGTTACATTTATGATATTGTTCGATAATTTCTTCCTTCTGTCAGGTCACCTTTCTTTGGAATGGGAACAAATATGGATCTTTTCCAGTCAGTTGGCCAGATGGTTGTCCTCTAGATTTTTTGGCACAAGTTGGTAGGCGTATCCAGCACAGCATCTGTTGAAATATGTCAATTGGTATGCCATCAATTCCTGGTACCTTGGTTTTTACCAATTCTTTCAGAGCAGCTTGAACTTCATCACCACAGGCTCTTGCTCATACATTGTTTCATGAAATTCTTCTGTGTCAGCCAATTCCTTTTAGTACAGGAACTTTGTATACTCATTCCATTTTCTTTGAATGCTACCTGGATCATTTAATACACTGCCCAAAACATCCTTAAGTATTGCAAGGGCTTTGTTCTTTAGTTTCTTCAGCTTAAGAAATGGTGAGTGAGTTTGGCTCTTGATTTTCAGACCACAGCTCTGCACATTTATTCCATTATAACACTTTACTTTGTCTTTTCTTGCTGCCCTTTTAAATCTGGTCAGCTCCTTTTTACTTCCCTTTGTTTTGGTTTCTCAGTGCTCTAGTGCAAGATTCAGTCTCCTCTGATGTCCATCTTGGTCTTTTCTTCCTCCTCTGTCTTTGTAATGACTTTTTGCATTCTTCATGGATGATAATCTTGATATCATCCCACAGCCCATCTGATCTTTGCTCGTTGGTGTTCAAGGCCTCAAACCTGTTTCTGAGATGATTTTGAAATTCAAGTGGGATAGTCTCAAGGTCAAATTTTTATTCCTGTGGATTTGATTTAATTTTCTTTAGCTTCAGCTTGAACTTGCATATAAGTAATTGGGGGGTCTCTTCCACAATCAGCACCTGGTCTGGTATTCACAGCTGATATTGATCTGCTCCAGCTATTCTTTCCACAGATGTAATTGATTTGATGCCAAATGAACATGTGGAAATATGACTGCATCATTCCAAAACTGCTGAACCACCAAGAATCATGACCTAGACAAGCAGACACTATAAGCATCACAGCCAGGGTTACTCTTGTCTTGTACTTCGGTATTCATTACTGCGAGAAATGTTAGGACACCAGACAAAATAGTTGGATAGCAAATTTACTTATTTTTTTTTACTATTGTAAATGTGGAATGATAGTTGATAAATGAGTAGGAATTGTTATAGGAATGGAATAGACCTGACAATTCTGAAATATGAGCATAAGGTTTAAAATTTTGTCATCCTAGAGGATAGGAGTAGTAAAAGGATTCTAAGCAATTTGTAATGTGATGATTTATAATATTGTGATAATATATAGCTCTGTTGGTCTAGTGGGTAGGGAGTTGTGTTGGTATCCAAATCCAAAAACACACAGTTCAAATCTATTGACTGTTCTGAGGGAAAAAGATGGATGATTTGCTTAGTGATTTACAGCCTCTGAAAACCCACCAGAGGGTCAGTTATGTGTCAGTTTTGACTCCGTAGCAGAAAATAAAAGTTTCAAACTACGCTTAATGAAATACTTTTCCCAGCTCATTAAAAAAGCTTTCATACATGTGCATTACCTATTACAAAACAAAAATTGCTAAAACCCATGAAGATAATAAGGAAATTTAGTCCATCTCAGT